AGTTTTTTAATTTTTTTTTGTTTTTTGTCAAGGCCGCAAAACTAAAAAAACTAAAAAACTAAAAATCCTTCAGGTGTCCAGGTTTCCAGGTATTTAGAAGTTCTAAAGAAACTAAAACAACTAAAAAAAGCCAAATATTTAGTTGTTTTTATTTTTGTTCTTTTTTAAGACCGCAAAACTAAAAATACTAAATATTTGTTTTTTTTAATTGTTTAAGTCTTTTTATTTTTTTTAGAATTTATAACCTAAAAGGTTTTAGTTTTTTTTAGTTTTTTAGTTCTTTTTTTTTCAATATCGCAAATCAAAAAAACTAAAAAAACTAAATCTTTAGGTATTTTCGTTTTTTTTGTTTTTGTTTAAAGGCCACACAACTAAAACAACTAAATATTTAGTTTTTTTAGTTTTTTGTTTTTTTTTTGTTTTTCGATTCTCTAAATACCTGGAAACCTCGAAACCTGAAGGATTTATTTGTTTTTATTTTTTATTTTTTGTAAGACCGCAAAACACAAAAAAGCATATGTAGGTGTGTCATTTTTACTTTTTAGTAGGTCTCAAAAAAAGAATATAAACACACAAAATTATTGGTTTTTGTTGTTTGATATAATTTGTTTTAAGTTTCCTTTTATATATATATATAGCATGATAGTATATTACAAAAATTAGTACGTTACATTATACATGGAGGTCCCTCGTACACATATATATATATATATATCAATCTATATATCTATAATAGAAGGCCTTGGGCATGCTCCGGTTTCAACAAAACTTGCTTTGGCCGTCTTTGTCGACGCTCCAGGTGCGAGTTCCATGCCGAGGGTGTCGAGGTCTTGGCTTTATTGGGCAACCCTGTAGTCAATGTCGTGGCAGTGGCTTGCAGCAGGCGGGGTGTTGTCACATCACCCAGTCCTTGTTCTTCAAAAACCCTCCAACTACAAATCCAAGGTCAGTCAAGCATTCTTCCGCAGAGATGTCCAGACTGAACGAAATAACCATGTGAAGAAACATGTTTGCTTAAAACACTTGGCAACGAATATTCAGAAATTAATGTGCCTAGAAACCCTAGCTTTTCCCTCCAGCTTCCAGGAGCAGCAGGCCAGTTCTTGGGCTTGGCGAGAACGAGAGCGTGAGAGAAAGGGGTTGCATCAAGATCATGCTGTTAGCCTCAAGGACTCAAGTCTTTGTACACGGTAGAGTTTCGCACATTGTAGCTGATCAAGGACATTTGATGGATTCACATTATTCTGCAACCACTTGCTCGGGCGTGCACTGCTAGGTTCTCTCTGCCATGCTTCCGCCCGGTGTGCACGACGGGCTGCGTCCTGAGCAATACGTACTCCTCATGTATTGCAATTGAGTGAAGCAATGGATGTAAGGCACTTGGTTGCTTGCTACACGTTGGATGGGAGGCTGGCTGAGATTTGAATGATAGATTGCTGTGCTGCAAGTGCATCGTTTGCAGGAGTTGCGATGACGTGATGTTCCTTGTCAGGGTGTGCCAGCCTAATTTCAAGCAAGGAGAATCTCAGCTTCCTTCAACTCAGGAAGAAACCTGTATAAGCAACGAGGCCTCGTTTGCATATTTGGCAGGTCCAGCAGCATCCTCGATTCAAGCGGTCTGGAGATGACCTGCATATTGTCTAAGGCTGAGGGAAGCGGAACTGACAAGACTTGTGTCCTGTTAGACGCGATGATTTGGTGGTCATATTTTCTTCCCAGTCCTGTTTCTCTCCAGGCTTGCATTTTGCCTAGGCGGTGGAATTGGGCCTGGCCGATGCTTTGCTCGGCAAACCGGTGAGGCCACCGGGGGGGGAGAGTGGACGGAGAGTGAAAGAACCGGCATAGGATGTTGCAAACAGTGGTTCCAAAATCACCATGATGCTTGAGGATGCTTCAGGCCCAAGTGGCACTCGAAGCTATCAAACGACAATCAATGATAGAGAAAAGGACGGAAGACCCTTGAGACTGAGGATTTCTCGACTCATTTTAGGTTTTCAAACACACTAGGGAACAGCGGCATTTCATGGGGACAGCGGCAGCGCTGCAGGCTGCGACACCTCGATGGCCGAGAGCTGAAGCTGAGACCCAAGGCAGAAGACAGCAATCTGAGCAACAGAAAGCCTTTCTAACGCAATCTAGAGAAAAGCAACGCGTTTTCTTTTTTCTCTATATCTCTCTCTATATATTGGAGCAAACAGCCGTCTAAGACATTTTTCAACTGGCAGGGGCTGAAGCCCGGGATCCATGTCGTGCAGGGCGAAGGTATGCCGAAGGCTGCTCTAGCCCACTTGATGTCAAGCAAGCCCATTGCACCACGCTTTCTCCCGAGACAAAGTGAGTCAAGGAATCCAGCAATGTCAAGCATCTTTTGTAAGTGAGATTCTTGAGATTTTTGCGGATCCAACCTTCAGGTGGACTCGAATGAGCGAGGGGATCTACATCTTCGCTTAGAGGTGCGTGCAATGTCTCAAGAAGACTGTGGAGAGGAGCCCGGTTGTGAGGTGCATTAGATATAAGGGATTAACCTGTATTGAGCATGGTGCTATAGTCTTTCGCATGTTGGCATTGAGCAGAAAGGTGTTTCACCATTCTGCTGCTTGATTTCGCACTATCTCGAGGATATTGTTGCTTATTGTGCATGCATCAAGTGGATCATTTGAGGATAGGATATGCTCATATGAGAGATCATTTTGATGTATTTCAATTTGTGAGCAAAGGCTGAAAGAGCCACCCAGCAAACATCAGTGATCACAACCATTCGTTATTCAGTCTCAGCGAACTCGTAGCACTGCCACGGTTTGAATGGGCAAGGGTGCAGCAGGTCCACAAAACAAACAAGCTTTGATCCAAACATATCCAAACCTCCTTGCTTTGGGTCACCCTTTGGAAGTTGGATGAAGTTGGCCTGAGACACACATGATGCACGCTCTACGACATGTTTCAGGTGCTTACTGGTGTTGCTTGCTCACAAGAAATACTTACATTGGTCGTGCCCTTCACGACTTTGTTTGAACATGTGGATCTCAGCTGTCGTACACGGATCTCAGGTGGCTTTTCCAAACGAGCTAGACATCGGGACCATGAAGGCCAGTCTGAAATGAGACCATGATTGTGGAAATGAGAGACCAATTTCTGTTGTTTGCGAGAGACTGACACAGTATTTTATTATCTTGCAACTACTCACACCTATTCTTTTTCTCCAGATCGATCGTTAGTAAAGAGGGTTCTGGCAAAATGCTTCTCAAGTTTCTCTTGCAACCACGGACAAGCTCTGAAATCACGGGTGTAGAAGTTTAGCTTGTGGGGACACCCAAACTCTTTCGTTCGTACCGCATCCTGCCCGATTATAGTAAGGCTTTGGTGTCTAGAGATCGTCACGGCTGCCTCATTTTTGAGTCTGTTTTGTGCCCCTCCTTGGTTTCCTCGACGAGCAATTTGTCATGGTTCTGTTAACTACTTAATACGTACCGTTAGGGAGGACGACCGTTAGCTACTTAAATGGATCCAGACCCTTCGTGCCTTGCTGGTTGATATTCCTCGAGTCATAGTCGCCATGGTCCTTTGAACCCGTTGAAGGGAACCAGCTGCATCTTGGTCAGGAGCTGATTGCTGCTCTACAAAGACGTTTGGACACAGCCGAGGCAGAGGTGCAGCTGGCTAGCATTGCTGTGCTTTTGGTTGGAAGCACGTCTTGCTTGCATTTGGAGCAGTATCCGCAGAGAAAGCAACCTCACCGTCTGTTAGGCGTGGGCAGGACAGCTGCAAGAGGGTTTGCCTGTGTGCTGAAACTTGTTCTTCGCCGTGGTTCCTTCACGTGGGAGTGCATTTGCTTGGGATGGTAGTGAGCAAAGTATGATGATGTTTTTGAAGGTGCTTGTTTCAATGAATAATTCCCTAGATAGCGACAGCTATATGGGGTTATTACTTCAAATAACACTGGCCGGTGCCGGGTGCTGGTGCTGAGTGGTGCTGGTGCTGGGTGCCGTGTGCGCGTGGGTGCCGGTGTTGGTGCTGGGTGCTGTGAGCTGGCGTGCCGGTGCCGGGTGCTGGTGCTGGCTGTGTGCGTAGTGGAGGCACGCCACCCTGTACTGCGGCGTTTTTTCCTGTGTAAAAAGGTTCCTGTGTGTGCTTTGGAGCTGCTGCCAATGCAGTCCAGAAAAATCTTTTGCATGCTTTTCTCTATCCGGGGTCTATGCAGGTGTAATTTTTACAGGCTTCATGGTTCGCACGGAGCTTGATGTAAGAGATTTGGCGGAGAAAAGTGACACCAAAAAGATTGCTCTTGACTCTCGGTCCATCTTGACCTGTAGAGCATGCTTCTCTACGGAAAAATCGTGCCGAAGAGTGTCACAAGGCCGCAAGGATCTTTGAAAAGGAATTTAATGACCCAATGGGCCATGGGTTTAAGTGCAATTTTTGGTAAAAGAATCAGAAGAGAATTCACGCTTTTCAATCTTCCAGATTCTGGGATCAACAGCAATCCCACAGCTCCACATCAAAAGCTAGAGTCTAGCATCCTAAGAAGTGTTAGACAAACGATCCTATGAAGAACCGATCTTCAAGCATGCTGGCGTGCTGGACTGTGGCAAGAACTGAGACCTTTTGAAGCGATTCAGCTTTATGCACCTCGCTGCTATAATTCTTCAATGCTGTGGGCTCTATTCAATTCAGTAGCTGCCTGTCGTGTGACTAGTGTTTCCAAGGTTGACAGAGACGTTCCAGTGCTGGACCTGTGTTCGAAGCATGGTCGTCCATAGCATCTCTCACTCGCCCCCAGAAGCTTGACACTCGTAATTCATCATTGTGACTGATCGTTCGGGGTAGATGGTGGTGTGGCCCGCGAGCACTTACGCTCCCGGTCTTGTCCTGATGTGTGACCCATTAGTAGTAGAGTGCAGTCTCGTTTCACCATGCGAAAAGGACACATGTATATGTAAGATCAAATGCCTACTGTACTACTAATGTGGAGTTCAGTCTTTTGTGCCCACAAAATCACATGCTAACAGAGTTTGAACCTCTGACCTTGGAAAGCTTTAGAATGGGAGCAACTTCAAGTTCTGTCACTGTTCAGATTTTCAGCTGAAAAGTAGGGGTGACAACAAAGCAACTGTTCAGTCCTGACGGTCTCCTGTTTTTCTGCCGACACTCAGCAGCGCCCTTCTCTTTGTGCCAGGCCAAGTCACGTTTGTAGCTTCTGAGAGATCGGTTCGGGGCGTGTGCCGCGGTTCGAATGGGCCGTTGTACATAGGGCAAACGCTCACCCGTTGGCGCGCTTGGCACCCGTTGGCCGCAAGTGGTTGGACCATCACACGTGTGCTTTTTGCAACGCGTGTTGACTTCCATGCGTTTGATCGGGAGTGGCCAGTCGCCAAAAGGTCAGTGAAGCTCATGTAAGGTAATTTTGCTCTGCGCATGATGTCCGCGTTAGCTCCAGGTCAGTGATCTTCGCTGGCTTGTTGGTCTTTCTGGCTAAATTTGTGGAGATGGATATACTTGGGGTGTAGTGCTCGTGGACGAGAGTTTCCACAAATGGATTTGCTTTGTTGACGTCTTTCTTTCGCACCCCACAACTCAGTGGCCATTGAGTATGTTCATAAAACATCAAAAAGCGGCTGCAACGCAGCAAGACAGTCTCCGTCTTCTCCTTTTCCCTTCCACCGACGTCAATAGATGCAGTTGCGGAGTTCAATTGGGCGTGGATGTTGAATATAAAACAGGCAGCAGCGGCATGCCGCAGGCAGCCGCGCATCGCAAGGCATCCGCTTGTCGAGGATTACACGCCTGGGACTGGTGTTTGGACGACTTTGCCGCTTTGAGAACACTGAATGAGTTTGAGAGGCGAATTAGCCTTTCGGACATCAACAATCTCAAGACACTTGGCAGATGAATCTGGACATCCAATGAACAAGTTAGGTTGGAGGCCGCTAGTAGGTTGGAGGCCATGGCTCTTTTTTTATGCAACTTGAACAAAAAAGTGGCCTTCACGAGCGAAGCAGCGCTTGAACGATCGGACAGGTTTTGTGGGGGATCCAGTGACCACAAGTGAAGTCATGTTTTAGTTTCAACCTTTTGAATGAATGGCTTGTTGCACTTGTCGAGTCATGTTTCAATCTTGTCCATGCTTTTGCGTTTGAACTTAATCCTTCTCTTGGCACCAAGGGTAAAAGATTTGCCGGACCACTTCAGGCAGCATCCCCAGCTCGCGTCAGGTAGCCAAGCATTAGCATTGGCCAAAGTCTGGGTGGCTGAGGCCCAAAGTTAGCATGGGACAGTCCCGACGATTTGCGACCGTGAAGGCTTGTCGCGAAGTCTTCAGGAGATTTCAGCATTAAACACCTTGGATGTTCGCCAGTGTCGTCAGCCAGTCAAAATAGCATCTCATGCTCTCCGGAATGCGGTGCCAAGCATACTGGTGCACCAGGGTATCTCAACTCAGCTGGACAAGACCTTTTTTGCTCGAGACTTGGAATTCGTGATTCTCCTCCTTTGCTCGATTTTGGTTACTCGAAGTGGACGTCTGGCCAAAACCGAGTTGATGGCCTGGAACAGAGAAAGAATGCTGGGCAGAGATGTCGAGGAGCTCCATCCTTCATCCTTTTTTCTTGATTTTTACATTCTTGATTGGAATTGTGACACAGGAAGAGGAAAGATTAAGTCCAAGGTATGGGTGTGTTTTGATAGGGGGTACAGTACCTCCCAACCAATGGGTTTTTGTGAAGTTCTGAAAGAATATACTTTTTGTAGACAATGTGCCAGTGGAGATGTCTTTTTCAAATCACTCCGGTCTCCGCAAAGCTTTTGGGGATCAAAGTTTCTTGGAGCAGCATGGGCACAATGCCCTAAACTCGTCTAATCGGTTGTCTCATGACTCTTCTCAGTGGGCAGTGCTTAGCTGACGCGGAGATTGCTTTGCAACAGGCAGGAGGTGCTGGCTTGTATGACAAAGAGCGCTGACAGAAGCACTCATCAATCTGCGCAATCGTATTCGCACAGCTGTGAAGACTGGCACCATCGAAGAGCAATCCCGTGAGTTGTCAAAGTGCTTGAAGCCCGTTGTCGTGTTTGTGAAGGCCCTCCCAGAGAGCCACACCATGCCACAGGAGGTTTTCAGTGAGCTACTTTGGAACTTGTACGTTGCTGGGGCTTCTCGGACGTCAGCCGCCGACGCATTCACAGCAGTGACTGAGAGCATTGAAGCTTGGAACACCTTAGTAAGCACTTCGAATCCACCAGGGGTCGGGGTTCCTGTAGCACTTGCTAGCCAGGGCTCATGGCGGACTCGTGTCCGGGCGCCTTCGGTTCTATAGTTTGTCAGGTGGGCTGATTTGCATTTTGCTAAGCATAGGCTACTGGGTTTGGTGTCTCCCCCAAGATGAGGATTTAGTTAGGCATGCCACACAGCATATGCCAAGCTGGACACTGCCAGTGTCCCATTCGTCGTTTCGTGCAGACTTGCCACCGTTAGAGCCTTTGTTCCAGCAGAGCAGTGTGGCTGATGTTGCTCAGCCGCTGAATGCTCCTCCAATTCCGGAGGGAATTGAGACTAGAGGACATGCGGTTCCGAACACAGGCAACCTAGCCGTTGGAACTTTGGTGAGGCTGCTGGGAAATCCGCCTTACAGTGCATTGGCCGGACTATGGCTCCCTTAGCCACATTCGTGACACCGGATGTGACATCAAGCTTGAGACCGGACTTGAACTTTGCAATGTGCCCAGAACTGCCTTTCAGCTGGCCACTGATCTGGTCTGTCGTTTGTGGAGCTGAAGTGTATGCCCCTTTCAGCAGTTTGGGTGTTCCGACCAAAGTCCAGGGACAAGCCGGGCGTCTTCGCGACTCTCTGACAAAAGCATCGGCTATGCCTGGCCAACACTGTTTTGGCAAGCTGTGAAGAACGAGTGTGATCTGTTTGGCTTGGACGAGTGCATCAAGAAGCTGTTGGAGAGCCATGGCTATTTTGGGCCAGACACAGTTGGTCCCCCGCAGACCGATGAGCTCAAGAAAGCGTTCCTTGAAATTGAGACGCTGGGTGGACCGCAACACGGGGCCGGAGCAATGGGGCACGGGTTGATGCCACGCAGACCTCTGACCTGGCAACCACGCCGGAGACCATGAGCTGGCATCTTCGCTTGCCGCCTGACCTGCAACGAGCAGCGCCGGAGCATCACGATTGGAGAATCGCGAACAGTGGTCAAGCTCCTCCGTGGACTGTCTAGGTTCCCTGAATGACATGATTCAAATGTTTTTGCATTGCAGGACAATCGCCCGACTGCAGGCTCTATGGCCAAGGGCAGGAGTCCGTCTTTTGCTTTGAGCCGCGTGTTGCGTCAGAAAGCTGGTGTTTGCTTAGCGGTGAGGTTTAGGCTCTACCTTCCTTGGATTGAGTCATGTAGACAACCAGCTGACGAGCTATCAAGCCTGTGGTGAGAGTTTTTGATTTGTGCAATTGCATCAGAAGACTGCGTCCAGACCTTCAAGCAAGAGTTTCACCAGAGACCCTCAAGCGTTACAAAGAAGCCGTGGACCCTTAGCTTTTGTGCAGTATGTCCAGCAACCAGCAACGTCTTGACATAGCAGTTGAAGAGCCAGATGATGTTGACCTGTTGGTTGTGGAGTATAGGACTGAAGCTGAGCTGTCTAGGGCCAAACATATTTTGTTGGTTGCAGGGCTTGAGTTCTTTCTTCCACACCTCAAGAACGAGCTCGTCTGGTCCAGAGAGTCTATCAAGGGGCGCCAGATTGCTGAGCCCAGCAACCACATGGTGCCTCTGCCCAACTCCTGTGCCTTGCTTTTCGCTGCCTACCACGCCGCGCGAGGCGGGCCGAGAGTTGGCGCTGCAGTGTTGCTACAACGAGGCACCGGTTCAGAGGTCCTGGGCATTCGTGAGCAACGCGTTTCCTGTCCTTTATGTTTGGACGGTAATGTTGCTATAAGATTGGGTGTTGATGTAAGTACCAAAGTTGAGAGAGAGAGAGAGAGAGCAGTTTGTTGTTATTTCTCCCAGCGAAAAGCCTGTCATTTGTAGTCTTTTGCGCAAACTTGTTCAACATACTGCGCCCGAAGCACGCCTTTTTCCCTTTGGCTATCAATACCACAATCTTAAGTTGGCAGAGTCTCACTATGGTCTCTCCTGCGGCTTCACGGCTCATTCAGCTAGGGCGGGATTCGCCGCAGAGGGCCCCGCTCCGGAGGGGTTGACCGACTACCAGAAACGACAGTGGCGCGAGAACCAACTCGCCCAGCTGCTACCAGCATCCTCCGGAACCGGCCAGCGCGCAACCTCTTTCCAAGCGAGCAGCTCGTTCAGCAGGACAGGAGCCCGCTCGAGCCTCTTGGATCAGCGGCTTCTCCATCGGAAAGGGAAGGGCCGCGGTCGCCTCCTCCCGAGGGGGGCGTCAGGTTCCATTTTTCCGTAGATGCCTTCAGATGTTTCCGCTGGCCAAAGGAACTACATTAGCATGGTTGTTGGTGGTTTTTGTGCTTCTGACTGGACAGTGTGGACCGATCATGCAGTTGTCTCGTGTGGCAGGCTCAATTGCTGATGTCACCGAGGCCACGAGTGAAGTAGCGGTCCAAGCCACCAATGCTACCTCCCATTTGACAGCATGGGCTACAAAGTGGATGCTGCAGCAAGCCACAAACGGACTGACAGCTGGTGAAAATGTTTGGCATGGCGCCGACTTGACCAGGCTTGAGGCCCAGCGCTGTTCAGGCCAGATTGTGGTTGCTGGTCCAGACACTCTCAGCGTCTGGCTCACTTCAGCCGACGCCGTGACCTTGATCCCCTGCTTGGATGCCTCATTGACGGAGCATATGTTGGCGCTCTCTCGCTCAGTTTCCTTGGCCCAACCATCGACTCAGACAACGCATGACTGATTGCGAGTGGCAGGGCTTTTCAACTCTACTCGCATTTGGGGCCGCTTGGATGACCATGGGCATTGCAGATCCAGTTTGAGGCCATCTCCGTCAGCTTCCAGCCCAGATGGGCCAATCCGCTCTGGGACCACCTTGGCTGTGATCTGGAATCAGAACGAACGCAGATCTTGCAGCAGCTGCGAATGGCCATTTTGGACACGCCTCAGGCACCACTTCGTCCTCTTCCAGTCCAAGTCGAAGTTGTGACCACTCCAGTGCACACGTACTGGCATGATCGTTTCTTGGCTTACTCACGCTCTTTGGCGTTGGCATTTTGTTCTCGCTTTGCGGATCCTGCTGGTGAGGGGGGTTTCTTTTTGGCACACCTTTCATGTCTGCCGAAACAGTTTTTGCTGAGTGGAATGTGTCTTTTTGTATTGGCAACTTGGCATTGGGGTAGAGGGCCAACTGCTGGCCCAACATCCCGACCAGCACTGACTGACTGGCCACTAGACGTG